TGGTTAATCCATCCCTGAAATGCCACCGTCCCATACCGGTGTATTAAACCATACCATTCATAAATAAATAGGTAGGACTTAACTATTCCGTTAATCCGTCCCTAAAATACCTCCATATTATTTTATTGGTGCATAAATCCATAAAACCCATACTTCAAAATTAGGGGAAGACTCAACGATTTACCAATACCTTCTAAATCGATGTCTTACCATTTTCCTGATAAGACTCAATGATTTACCATTAGGACACACTAACGGACCGAATATAGAATTCAATGAATCCTAAACTTAAACTCTAAGTAAAAGAGTACACAACGCGGAAGTCACACAACGAAAGACACCCTAGAGACACTTGAACCTCGAGTGCTCTGATACCAACTGTGATACCCCCTAATTTTGGAACACGGATTGATCAAGTCCGCGCACAAAATCAAGGGATATCAAAACAATTTAAGTATTTAACAAGCACAGAATACAAAGATGAATAATAAAGAATAAATAAACCGCTGAAGAAAACTAATAAATAAATATTACTTAATGATTCTCCAACAATTACAATTCGGAAATCCCATAACTCAAGGACCCCTTAAAACATTATCCAATAATCCAATACTATTTAAAAGTACACAAGATGAATAGACGAATGACAGTCTCCCAGCTGCGGATCCTCAACCTCGAGACTGGAACCTCTAATAACCTGAAAAATAAATCGTGGGTTAAACCCTACGAGCAAGTTCACTCTACCAGGCCTCTGAAAACCAATAAGCAGATCATCTCTGATCAAAACCAAACCTAATAAAGTTTTAACTTTAATAAAGCACGATATACATGTCTATATATAATTATATATACTATACTAATCACATCCATTAATAGGTTTATTAAATTTCCATACCTATTAAATAATTATTAAAATAATATTCATACCTAGACCAATCTACCATTTCATTTTATAAAAACTCCTTTGACCTTAATCCCATCCTAGTCAGTTGTTTAATCATTTAAACAACAAATTATAATAAAAGAAATACTCTATTTAATCCCAACCCGATAATGATTTTAATTGTTTAAATCACATATCCAAAATCCAAGTTTTGACAAATCATCCACGTCTTCCCTAATATTATTTTATTAATGTAAAATAATACACTAACCAGTAAGTACTAAACTATTCTCATTTAAGAATATCTAACCCTAATCCAATCCATACATACAACAACCATAGATGATATTTTAATCATCTAACACATAACAACGTAATTATGCTTTGGCAAATCAACCATGCCATTGTAAATATTTTTATTTATATATTGGCAATTCAACCATGCCTCCATAAGTATATTTATTTATACATTGGCAATTCAACCATGCCTCCGTGTATGTATATTTATACATTGGCAATTCAACCATGCCTCCACAGGTATATTTATTCATACATTTAATTAGCAATTCATCCATACTTTCCATATATGTATTCTATTCATACAAATATTTAGGTAATATATTTAATCATTTGACAATTCATCCATGCCTACACTTTAACCATGAATTAACTTTAAAATTAACAATACGCTAAATCATACATAGCCATCACATGCATATTATACGCATATCATTAATTTAACAACCAGCCTATTAAGATATGCCAAATAAGAATGATAATATTAATCATCTTAAATGATTTATATATATATATACCTACACATATGTTATTTAATGTATATATGTGTTTAATACCTTCTTTAATAATCCTTGATTATTTAAAATCAATATACATACATACATACATATATATATATATACACTTCCTTCCATAACAAATTATTAATTTATTATATTTATACAAATTAGTGCAACTAAATATGTCAGAAATAGTTTCCTTTAAATACTCCATATTGGTTTAAATAGTTTTCCGACACTTTCTCACTAAAACATAAATATCTCCTAGTAGGATGGGAATCTGATAATGAAATTGGTACCATTGGAAAGAAGACGAAAAATCCTTGAATTTGAGCTCAAGAATGACCCAATTTCGATTTAAAATGACTAAGTTATGACCGTTTTAATTTCTAGTGTCGAATTAGGCCAACATAGTTTCCCACGCGCGCCCACGTGCTTACTATGCACTTGCACGCGCTGGATTCAAGCCTCCTTGTGTGCTGGTATTGGCTAAGCTCTTTCAGCTACCGTGAGCTCACCACACTGAAGCCATCACTTCCTTTATGCCGCATCCAATGGTCATAAATGAGTGCACAAATGAACACGCTCACACTAGATTATTTTCTATTAACTATAATAGATTTAAGGTCCAGATCAGCGAGTGCACCATCTTCTCATGGTCTGCAATACACCAAATAATCCCATAGTTGACCAGACCACTTCTATGGTCCAGATACACCTGCGCACCAAACTTTTTTGCGCCGCGATGCACCATATCAATTCACATAAGTTTAATTAATCAAATGGCCCTAATTGGCGTATACGCCCTATTATCCTACACCGCGCTGCACTGGATCAATTCTTTATTGTGCCGCCGCTCCACATGCGCCCGCCAGTTACCTAGTATATATATATATATATATATATAATTATTTTCCTAACAAATAATAGGAAAATAAATCCTAATAAATTCCTAAAAATATCAGAAAAATTCCAGAAAATTACAGAACAATTCTAGAAAATAAAGAAACCATAATTAACTCTCTTGGGTCCACCTATAGATTGATTTTAAAATATACATAACACCTATATATATCAATTAAAATCCAATAATCTAAAAATCAAATATAATAGTTTATACTTTTTAATTATTCCGATCTAACCATAATTTTTAAACAAATAAATTTAATTAAAGCCTTGATACTCAAGGTGAAATCCTTATGAGTTCTAAGAGGAAAGTTAGAGAAAACTCGCCTGAAGGTTTCGAAACGAAACCGACGCTTTAAGCTTTAATTATCTCTTCCAATTCCGACGTCCTCCTTTTCAGATCCGACCTCCTCCTTGTCAGCCCTTCTTCTTCCTCTCTCTCTGTCTGTTTTATTTTTCTAACGTGTAAAACCTTTAACCCTAAAGCCTTATGTGTATTTTTATACACCTTAAATTCCAAATCCTATTCCAACTAGTATTATGAATTAAAATAATAATCTTTAAATAATTTATATCTATAAACATATATATATATATAAATATATATTCCTTCCATAATTAACTCATTAGTTAATTAAATCATATATACTTATAAATATCAATAAATATATATCTATATATATATCTTTCCATAACAATTATTAATTAATTATATTTATATATAATTATATATATATATATATATATATATATAATTGATACAAAAGTGATCATTTAAATAATTAAATAACCACGGACCTTCATTAATTAACCCAATAAGGTTTCATACAAGCCCATGACCACATCTTTTGGTCCAACTTTCCTTAAGCCCAATCCAATTAATTTAAATAAATAAGATAATTAATTAAATACAGAAATTAAAATAACTAATTACATGAAGCACATAAACAAACAAGAATTTACAACTAAGTCATATAATACCAATAAAATCAACACACCAATAATTCAATCAATAATCAACCACACAAACAATCAATCATCATACATAATCACGAAATATAACTTAATTAAAATAAAATAATTAATCTAGCACTCAATAAAATAAAATAAATCATTGAAAAATAAAATAAAATAATTAATCATAATTAATAAATCTTTTAAAATTATCGGGGTATTACAGACACCATGGCACATGATAAGCAGCAGTTGATCATAAATACTTGGGTAACATTTACAAGCCAAAACTTTTAAAGGGTGGTATAAAATAATTACTATATTGTAGCAAATTATGAGATTCCTAGTGCCTTTATAACTCGAACAAATAAGAGACCTAGCTTCTTCACTAATGTTGCTATGCGTCATTTTCATTTTTTATTCTGACCTTCTCTCCCTTAGATGATAAAAGCAAAACCACTATACCAAAGAAACGAATCTCAGACCCCTATAAACAAAAGGAGGTGATTAATATGAAATAGACATCATTGTTCTTACTTCTACCATAGTCTATCAAATACAGCGACAGAATTTATGTGCCGAGAGCAATGGTAGATTTTTTTTTGGTACTTATCTATCAGACTCAGGAATTTATGTGTCGGTAGTAGATTTTTTTGTACTTTTAGGGGCTTATATGAAAATTTCATAAATGTATGGTTTAAAAAAAAAAAAAAAAAAATCGGTAGTATCAAAAAATTAGAGGGGTTACTGGGTCCATCCCTCATCAAATATAAAACGACTCCTAATCTAAGAATCGAATATTTAGAAAAATCAAACCATATTTAAGAAAAAACAAACCGAAGTATGATCAATTGGCAATAGTTTAGATAATATATTTTCTTAAAACGAAGATAGAGTGTTAACTAATATGCATAATTGTGTTAGCATATCTAAAAACGTACAATCGTTCACAAAACAATTTATCCTTTGTTGTTAACTTGTATGAGCAATTTTGCATCAAGAAAAAATTTAATCTTTCTCATTTGCATCCTCATATATCATATTATCAACTAGATAAATACTAAATAAAATAGTTATGGCTAACTAAGTAGATATAGCTTTAGCCAAGTGATGCAACAGCCTATAAAAATTTCAATCCAATCAAAACAAAATTTGGAAGAGCTTTTCCATAAATAAATTACCTGAAAAATTCAAAGCGAAGGCTAGAAAATAAAGTTGCCAATTCGATAACACAAACCTTGAAATTGAAAAAAGAAACCAGTTGTGTTCATTTTCAACTGATTACAATATCAGCTCATAATACAAAAATTTACGATTTCAAAATGACTCGGGGATGAGTTGATTCTAGTTATCAAGACAAAAATTATCTCCGCATGTCTTCTTTGAACTTATTATCATTCTTCTAATTACATAATTTATCCTCTATAGTACTTAACTAGTAGTTATTAGGAATTTAGAAAGAGAGAAAAAGGATAATGTATATAACAAGGAAATAACAGAAGAGAGGAACAATAAAAGAAAAAAAAAAAACAGAAAAAGAAAAAGAAAAAAAAAAACAGAAAAAAAAAAAAAAAATTGAGAAATAAGATGATCAGCTCGCAGGAGGCTGGTTCGAATCGAGCTGACTGACAGAGGGGTTGGAATTGGAATTAGAGTTGGAGCTGGAGGCACCGGAGAGGAGGTCGGCGAGAGCCGACATGGCTCGAACCTGCATCTCCAGAGCAGCAATATAATCAGTGGCTTCTTCTAGAATCACCGGCAACGGTTCTTTCCGGCAACCGGGGACTAACCGGCCGAGAAGCCGAGTCTTCCTCCGAACAGTCGGTATATTCTTCGATTTCAGCCGCAGAATGCTCACTCTCGGCCTCTTCGACCGAGTGGTCGCAGTCGCAACCACTCTCTGCCTCCTGTTCTTCATGAACTTCAGCTTGAGCCGGCTCTTGAGGATCGCGCGGCTCCACCTGGTCCTTCCTTTCGCAGTCACGGCCAGAACTCGATCGGCAGCCTCGCGCACGGCGCGTCCCGGCCGCGGAGCCGGGGGAGGTGAGCTGAGCCGGACTTGCCGGAGAGCTTGGACGAGCTTCGAAGAGTAGACTTGTTGCTGTGTTTCAGACTTCCACTCGATCGAAGCTTGATTGTTGTTAGGGTTTTGAGCTTGATCTCTGCTGATTTGGCTCTTCTTCTTCTTTTTCTTCCTCATAGACTCGCGAACTCTGTCCGAGTTCGCTACAGCATTCGAGATCATTGTTGACGCCATCAAAACCGTTGATTCAGCTTACCAAATCGGATCCGAGCCGATCACGTTTCTGTGTCTGTATATACACTGCGATGACGAAGGCCTGTAGATTCAATCACGTGAATAGATTGTTGGAATCAGAGAAATGGATTCGAATTAGTCGAAAATAAACTCTGAGATTAACAAACAACTATAAGAGGCTGATCAGTTTGGTTTTTAAGAAATTGAAATTATTTAAGTGCTAATCTTTGTAGCAATTGAAAGGAAAATAGAAAGCAGAAAATTGGACAAAAAAACGCATCTGATAAGATTGTTCACCTTCAGAAACTCAATTGTCGGTTTTTTTCTCCAACGGACAATATCAAATCAACTGGTCGATTAAGAAATTGTGATCGGATAAAGCGGGCTTGTATGTATATATATGTATATATATAGGGAGAGACAGAGAGAGAAGAGGGGAGAGAGATGATGATATTAGGAATTGGGTGAGGGAGATGATGATGGTGGTGGTGGTTTTGGTGTCCAACGAAGGGAGAGAGTGGTAGTTAAAAGGCTTCGGCCGTAGCACACGTCGCTACCTTCTTTAAATACCAGAGTTTATAGCATCTGCTGGCCTCTTTATTTATATTTCGTAAATATTTATATATTTTTTAAAATACTTTAAAGTGTACATTTAAATAATATTGAATATTGATAAAATATAATATCTAAATATTGCCAAAAAAAATAAAAATAAAGTTTAAAATTCTTTAAAAAATTGAAAGGTATACGTACCGTGAGTAATTTAATCTAAAATTTATTCCTTATAATAAAATTTCTCTTACTTTGTTTGCAATAATTTTTTGTGCCAAATATCTTTCGAAAAAAAAAAAAAAAAACTAATTAAAATATATAATTTTATCTTTCTAAAAATTTGAACACTCACTATCTTCAGACTTCATTTCCATTATCATATATAGAAGAAAACCTCGATTACAATCTTAACAAGGTTTCAAGTCTTCTTAATATTTTAATTGTTTACCCTCATGTTCAAATTAAGTTTTCTTAATATTTTAATTGTTTACCCTTATGTTGAAATTTGAGACTTGATACTTATATGGAGATGTGGGTGTTAGGATATGTGTGCCCTAGCATAGCAAATTTTAATTTTGGATTGTAAAAGTCATGATTCCTTATCTCAATATTATTATTAAAGTATTATACAATTGGTGAATGGAATGTATTATTTTTCGATTCATTATAGAATTGATTGTGTCCACTTGATTACAAGATATATTTATATATGTATGTAATGGCAATTAATACTATGTTATAAATTAGTAATCATAAATGGTTCAAAGTCGGTAATTATAGATAGACATTTAATTAGTTAAGACTTGAACCGAGTCCACGATAAATTGAGATATATTGCGAGAGCTGTCGTATGCAATTGCTCTCTATCACAGTCATGGCTTTTGACTCTCAAGCATGAGAGAAGTATAGACTCTTTTATTAATTAATAATTACTTTAATTTGTTTGGCGAATATCTCGAGATCCTTAGATCGACACTTTGGATAGTTATGTAATTAATAGTTAGAGGTCTATATTCTCAATATTTGCATCAGTGTTATTTGTATTTATTTTGTTTTGATTATGGTTGATCATAAATTAAATTCGAAAGTTTTCGTATGTTTTAGACAAATGTTTTATATATATATTTATTTATTAAATTATTATTTTTGTCAAATAAATATTTTATTGTGATCGAGTCAGAAATAATTAAAGGTAACAAAATAATTATATTAATTATATTGTCGGATTGATAGCTTTAATTATCCGATAAATAATTATGCATAGAGGAGTCAAAGTGCAACATTGACTTAAAGGTTATTTACTATTTAATTGGAGTGCAATTAATTTCTTTTAGTGGAGTAGAAATTAATTTATGAATTAATTGAATTGGGTCAATGATTTTATGGACCGGACCAATTATTAATTTATAGGAGCTAAGAAAATAGTAAGCCCAAAAGGATTCTCACCAATAGCCCAAGTTGATATTGGAGTCCTGTTAGAATTGAGAAAGTTGATTTAGAAATGGAGAATGATTTATTGTTTCCTTATTCTTATTTTTATTTTGCCTATATATACATGGGTCTATGTATAATTTAGGGGTGGCTTTTAGAACAAGAAAAAGGAATACACTTTCTCTCTCTAGATTTTAGGATTTGTTTTCTCTTCTAAAATGTGGCTACTACAAGCCTAGATTCCAAGGTCATTCATCAAGGCATATTGGTGATTCCTAAAGGGAAGATTATAATCAAGAAAAAGGAGAAATGATCTTATTAAATGGATCTACAATAAGTGAGAATATTCACTTTAGACGAAAGATTAAAAAGGTTTACTCAGACCTTTAATGTAAGTATTCAATCTGTTTATTGAATTATACATCATCTTTTATTTGTTTTTATATAAAACTTGTCTCTATGTGATGAATCAAGATCCATGATTGCAAATCCCTCAAAAGTTTTTTAAAACTTACACGTTTCCCAACAATGGGACACCAAGTTTCCCCCTAACGACCACCCCGTGAGGTTAGAACAAAGTATTTTTGAATTGAACAATGTATTTGGATTATTTATCTTACCACAAAGAACACAATCCACGCCTTTAAAAAGTATCTATGAGAGAAATACATAACTTAGGAAGCACAGATATTTTTATGAAGGAGCCGTACCCGTGTCGTATTCGTGTCAGACACCGACACTCCTCGAATACGTGTCCGACACTTCATATACGTGTCCCTAAATAAATATTAATTTTATTATTTCGGACTCTTCACCGACACTTCCCAGACACTTCACCGCCACTTTTCGGACACTTTGCAGACATTTTTAATGCAAGTTTACCTAGTAATCTTAAAAATAATATAAATACTATCATGACAAAGTAGTAAAATAATGGTATATATGATATAAAAATTATTACAATAATGACATAATTTTATTTTCTAATTTATTTTAGAGCAACTCTTCGTATAAAAATTATAAATGAATTAAAAATGTATACTAATAAAAATTTATATTGTTATGTAGCCGTATTCACACCGTATTCGTGTCCTACTTTTTAAAAATTTGACGTGCCTAACGTATTCATATCGTATTATGTATATGTTCGTATCGATGTTACATAATACATAACGTTAGCAGGGTAAGTAAGAATGTAAATTTATTATGAATATAAAAATAACATAAATAATCTTAACACAGAGAAGAAAATGTAGGCCAGTAAAGATCCTTGCTATCCTTGCCGTTCTTTAGATTAATAAGGTCTGATATTCCTAAGTCACCTGTTGATGTTTTTATTGAATTCATTCATACACATGCTAATCTATCACAAGAGCCACAAAGATTCATTCTTCATTTATTGCACTAAAAACCACATCATATCATTTACCACGCCACACTAGTACATTTCATATAATTATAGGACCTACCACCAAACATGGTAGGTGTCCTTGGGGTACCTGACTTCTTATAAGTTACATAGTAATATTATATACATGTCTTTTTCAAGGAACTCAACACTATTGTTGTGATTATAATGTGCCACAATAAATGTCCATTGCATTTTTTTTTTTTCCCTTCCAAAGGTTTAACAAATTCTATCCTTTTAACCATCATGATAACCTTTTGTGTCTAATGTTATTAGAGACTTCAGTATAATTTCATTAAGTAAAGCATAACCAAGAGAAAAAGGAATTATCACATTTAGTCTTGCATGCCTTGATATGATAGCGAACAAAGTTAAGCATGGAGTGGGTAGTACTAAAAATTTCAGGATTGTTTGCTAAATAATCATAATTTTCACACTAGTTTGGTTCATTATTAGGTTGATTTTTATATTATTTGATGAAATATATGATCTCTATTTCTAGGTAGTTTTTGGGAGTTGATCTTTGTGCAATAGTAAAATTTTGGATCGGGAAACATGAGAATATTATTTTAATCTTGGGGAGTGACTTAGTTGGTGGACTGCCCAGCTCTCCAAGTTGAGGTGCCCGTGTTCAAATTTCAAATTCAGTCCTTAACAATACTAGTATAGCAACAAGCAAGTTTTTCGCAATTACTCGGTTACACAAATCATATGTTTCCATTCCCTCTCACATGCTAACATATCTTTCTTTAATTACCTTACCCACATTAACTTTAGTCTTCCTCTTTTCTCGATATTACTCTCAATATCGACTATGTCATTTTTCCTAACCGGCACACTTAAAAGATCTTCTTTGCACGTGTTCAAACCATCTTAACCAAATTTCTCTCATTTTATCTCTAATTGATGTTTCTCCAACTATAGTCCGAATATGATCATTTCCAATTCTATCCTTTCCGATCTTTAACGCATATCCATCTCGACATTCACATTTATGGGACACTCACTTTATGACAAAAATTTATTTATAAAATATCTATTAAGAATGAGGGTGCATGCCCCATTTCATAGATCATGTTTCTACTCCACTTAGTTCATCTCATAATAATGCTCAAGGAATGCTAATAAAGGTAAATTCAAATGCTTACCTCTGAATGTATAATACTTGACTACCTTTTTCATCATCAATCACCATTACCCCACAGGGAAAAAATAGGGTGAAAACATGAAAATTTATAATCCCAACTGCCAAAAGTTTCAAAAAGAAGAAGAATGAAAAATGCAATCAATGAATCGTGGGCTGATGGAAGTCCAACCGTTTGATTGGTTGAGTTTTGAGGTGCTGGATACCACTAATTGACTGGCATTTGGGTCGGTCCCACACAAATTTTCTGTTTTCTCATTCGTGCAATGATTATTGGCTGGTGATCGTGAACAATAAGATATGATAAAGAAAAGCAATACATGTGATTGTTTCTCTGGCGCTTTTATCTTCTGCTTTGTTGTATTTATATTTTTTGCAGGGGGACTTGGAATTTCTCTGCTTTGTGAAGTGGTGACAGTCATGCTCCACATTTCCAGCAAGAGGTCCCCTCCTTCCCTACAGCAAAGAAGTAATTTTTTATATTATCACTGAAATTTTCATGAAAACATCATTAAACAAACTCAGATTCAGTCGAAGCTCAAAGCACAATGCTAATTTTAAGAACGAATGATTGCCCCATCTAATCCTTTATTTGACCCGATGATGGTGGCGTTGCGGACCTTTTAGAGAACCCCATAATTCATAATGGGACACATACAATCCTCCCGTCTCACATGCATTGAACAATTACTGAAAAAATTTCCAAGGGATTTGATCTTTCAAGAGCAAACAACTAATGCATTTCACTTATTCAACAATGTGGCTTCCACTCTATAGAGTGAAATTGTTTAATCACAGGAGCTTTAACAACATATGGTTTTAAAATCTACTGTGGCAGGCAAATGGAGATTGCTATGCAATAATTAAAGGGTTTTTGGGGCAATAAAAAAAAAGGGATTAAAGGTGGATTGAACCAGACTCGGGGTAAAAGAATGTCTAAATGCATATATAACAATGATTTGTTCCAAGTTATCATTAACATAATCTCACCAAAATCATGGTACCATGTGTGTGTCAGTACAATATGCATG